CGCCCTCATTCCCTGCGCACTTGTAAGGCGTTCCGGGCTATGACTCCTGAGAAAAGGCGTGAATCGGCACGCGCACACAAGTACTGCTTGAATTGTCTGGTCAACTCACATGTCACAGGAGCTTGCGATTCCCCGGCCAGCTGTCACAGATGTGGCAGAGCACACCACACACTGCTACACCGATCGACTTCGAGCTCGCCTGGGCAGAGGCGCATGAGGGCGACCCAAAGCGGTCGAACAGCCAATCACCGCACCATCCGCAAACCGCCACGAAATCTCCAGAGCCGCTCTGCCGCCAAACGTCGTCAGATTCGGGAGCTGCTAAACATAGCCCAAGCCATCATCGAGCAGCTGAAGGAGTTGTTGCCGACATCCGCACAGGGCGGGCGCCATGTTGAGGACATGGACGAGTAATGGCCACAGCATCTTAGGTTTAAGTACCAACAAATGCATACATATATATAAACATCAAATCATGAATTTTTCTAAGATTAATATACTTTGAATTTCCCCCAAAAATTATACCTAGAATCGTGAATTGTACTAAAATATAAACATTGGTTTTCGAACATGGATATTAAACATACACATATACTTAAAATGATAGAAAATTAACATTAGAACGCGAAGTGTCTACACTCGTAATCGAACCGTCAATCCGGAACGCCCGCCTCTTTTTTACATTATATACAGTCCACTGAACTTCAATAAATCCGCTGAATAGTCATTTATATTATTTAAATAAATTTTACCTTTTATTTAAAACCGATGAAACAGAGCCCGATTAAGTTGCCAAGAGCGCAACACATTCTATAGGCTTAATTCTTTCGATTGTTATATATCTTGTTCATTATACAAATGAGTACAAAATTAAAAAAATAATAATTTTTGAATATTTATTTAAAAATATCCTGGCCAGGATTTTTTCAACCAACCCACACGCAAAATATTTGCTAATGCGTTAAATTCATAGAAAAAAGATTTCATCCATTAAACAGATGACTGAAGGTCGGCCCTTTGTCGGATCTTAGACTATTTGGAATTATTTGGAGTTCGTTACGGAGATTTTATTTGCCACATCATTTTATTGAACTTGAAGCTGTTTTTTACCGAAAATTATTGGAAAAATTAACAATAAATTATAAATGATGGAAGTGATAGCTATTTCGGAAAATTGTTGAATATAATTGTTATAGGGCTAAAATAACCAACAAACAAACAACTTAAGGACGAGCACGCCTAAAAGTTAAACATTCTAAAAATTTAATTAATAACGAAAACCAACAAAAGCAACAACCCCATTATCAAGTGTAAATTGCAGCGGTATAGCTGCGCTTGATTGTAGTTAGCTCACATTAAAAAAGTGGAAAAAGCAACAACAGTTTATAAGACGAACTTAGCACAGTGCGTAGGCAACTGGCTGAGTCAGCTTGGGTCATCGGTTCGAATCGCACTGCAGAAGTCTGATGAGGAAATGTGGCGATTTCCGAAATAGCTATCACTTCTACCATTAATAAATTGTTGTTAATTGCTCCACAATAGTTTTCATTAAAAAACGGCCTCAAGTTCAACAAAATTGATGAATATAATTGTTATAAGCCCAAAAATAACAAACAAACAAATAACTTAAGGACGAGCACACCTAAAAGTTAAACATTCTAAAAATAGAAATAACTAGTGAACCCGCATGGCGTTTAGACGCCAAAATTGAGTTTAACATTGCAAATGTTTCAAGTAAATTCGTCCATCCCTTTTTGAACAAAGAGAGGTCTCGCATGGCGTCGGTTTTTCATTTCCTCAAAATTCCAACCACCCTGCACTGGTAAAAAAAGTCGTAACTTCAAAAAATAAAACTTAATGCACATTAAGAATGACGGTGCCGATCTGAAGACCTTCACATAAAAGATCCGATGACCATAACAAAAAAATTATTTATTTATAAAAATTAACTCAAACTAATTTTTTCGGTATATTATGGGTTTATTCGAAAGAACATATATTTCAATTAGTTATGGAACCCGATTTCATCATTTTACTGTCTTCGCAGTAGCGCATCCTGTTAACCCAGTTCCCCAAGACCTTGGTGACGGTTTCTGGCTCTATCGTAAGAAATGCCCGATATACGCCTTAAGGGCCTGAATCGTTAATAGATTTTCGCATTATATCGGTCCTTCACGGCATGGCACAAAAAATACTAGAGCGTGAAATCGCGGCTCCCAGGGGACCATTTGACTTCACCGAGACAGCTGATAACACAATTACCGAACTTTATCGCTCAAAATAAAAATTTAATAGATGGCAACCTTAACAAAAAATATTTTCAAGCTAAAGTTTTATTAAAACTCTTTCTTTTGCCACTCATATTTTAATATTTCACTAGTAATTGTGTAAAAGCTAAATAAATTAGGCTTTTCAAACAGATGGCAACCCTCTGCGGAGCATTTTCAAGTTCTTTCGTCTGATACTTTGATATATAATTCAATTAAATTGAATTTAATTTTTTTGTCACCTGGCAACTCACCTAAACAGTTCAGATATAAATCCTTCTCAAACCCGTGAACGATTAAATGGTCTCTTTTAGTAATATATTTAACTTAATAATTAAATTAAATTTAAAATTTCAACAGCTGGCAACTCTCTTCAAACCATCAAACAAAATTGTAATGTTTAAACTGAAGATATCCGTCATCCCTTGTCAAGCTTGGTTTGCAGACATATTTTACTAATGATCAATTGACAATTATTGCCAAATTATATAATTCTGAATAATTCCGTACCAACTCGATTAATTTTCCCTCCATATTAAACAAAACTTGCAGTAGAATACCGTCAGCTCGTCAATGAAATACACAAACAAATCTTTTCCGAGTTAACTACACTCTAAACAATATTTTTTTTTTTAATTTAAACATATTCAAAAAGGTAACCAGTTTTCTCTATTGATGTATGCACACCATGTTAATCAATTTAAATACTGCTTTTTAACTTTAACTTACCATATTTGTGGCGTAGAACAAATTTGAAATTGGCTTGTTGAATTCTAAACACTTAAGGCCAAATTCACAGTGCGCAGTTAACTCAGAATCGGCAGTTGACTACAGATTTTCAGTACAGCACTGTGAGTTTGGCCCTTAGGGCCATTAATTTAACTATTTTAAAGTACAGTTAAAGCATTAGTTAGACTTAACTACACAAATTTCACAATTACACAGTTTACACATAAAATATTTAAAATTTGCTCTAAATGTTTCTGTTTAAATTAACGCATATTAAGAGAGGTTACGAGTTTCCTCTCCCAATGTGTGGAAATTTAGACACCGTGTTAATAAAATTAAACACTGCCTGTTTACTTTTGCATACCAAATTTATCGCGTAGAGCAAAAGTACACATAAAATGTACTTAATTTTTATTTTTAGTAGGGAATGTATTTTTGCGTTAAAAACGTTTGCAATTTTAAACATTTCGTGTGTAATATACATCTCATGTTCAAAATCCAGTCTTGAACGTTGTTAAAATTAGCACGCACTTCACAATAAAATAAAAAGGACAGTGACGCTCCGATTGCGCGGAGCATTTATTTATACAAAACTTAAAATTATTCCTATCTCTAACTAGAAAAACGCAGTTTGTCCAGTACATTTATATACAGACACATATCTATATATATGTACATATTCCTAATACACATATATGGATGTATGTGTATCTTATGTGCTTACATTCACTCAAAAAAAAACTTCTCTTAATTGAAGAAAAACAGCAATCAAAATGAAGAAAAATGGGAACGAAACAGCACTAAAGGAGTCTTATCCTCATTCGCATGCCCAACATTTCTTCAAAATGAGGAAAAAATATTTCTTTGTTGTAGAGAAAAAAATGTTTAAAATATAGAACCTATAATACAATTGGAGTAAATTTTTTATTTAAAATAAAGAATATTTTACCAAAAAATAAGTATATTTTTTCTTCTTATTAAGGATAATATTCTATTTTCAACTAATTTAATAAAACACTCATAAATGTTAGTTTTTCATGAAACAAATCTTTATTAAGGCTTTTATCATTAAAAGAAGACTTTTGGTCGCAAAAATTTTTGATTTTTTACCATGTACATATGAATTGGCGGATATTTTAATTCATTAGCGTTTATAATTTTAAAGATAGTGCTTTTAGAACCTATCTGATAAGACAAATAGTGGCGTTTGTACATTAAAATATTTATTAATTCACAAAACAAAAATACTTCGTCATTTATAACAAGAATTTCCAATACTTGGTATGATAGAAAAGTTGGATTGTAAAAAAATATAAAGTAATCTTTTTTATACATTGTGCCATATAGTTTAAAACTTGTGTGGCACATGCAATGGTTAATATTGTCTTCAGAAAGTACATCTCTGATTTTATTAAAATATTTTGAAAATTTCGCTTCATATTCTTCGCTGCCTAATGTATAAGTAACGTTCTTATAATTAACAATTGTTTCAGAAAAGGTCATGCAAAATTTCAAAGCCAAAGTTAATGTTAAGTTTCTTCGGGAAGTAATATTTTTCGAATATGACTTTAATTGTCTATGTTTGGATTCAAAAGGTAGCGTCCACAAATATTTTAGGGGGCCTGACATTTGAAGAACTCTACAATAGTGGTTAAGGAGGTGGTGCTTTGGTTTTAGAGTGTCATTAAAATTTTTAGTATATTCTTTGTTGTGGAATTGAATATGTTCTCTTAAATTCTCTATATCTGATTTAGTATATTCAGACAAAAGTAATAAATCTAAAAGCTCTATAAGGTTTAACACGAATTTCCACAAGTTATCATCTTCATTTACTGCGTCTCCAATAAGTAAAGGGAAAAAGTGAGCGAACGTTAACATTTCCCTTCCCGATAATTTTAGCTTGAACGTTTTTAAATGATGCATCTGCAATGGTGGTGACAAATTTCCCATTTCAGTCTCACCATACGCAAATGTTTGTTTACGAGTGTTTAAAAATTCTAGATCAAATATCTTTTTATGAATATAATGTAAGATTATATTACAAAAACCGTATTTAAAAACGCCTTCAAAGATGTCATGAAGTAAATCAACAGAGAAATTTTCTACTACGTGGAAATTATTGACATTATTAAAAATGGAAAACTCTCTTATGCCAGTATTTTCGAAATCGTTCAAAGAAATATCGTAAGCGTAGTTTTGTTGATCTCTTAATTGGCTATTATCTTCAATAAAAGCGAATTTGGCATCGGTTTTATTTATTTTACAAAATCGACAATAATGGTTAGAAGAAAATGAACGAGAAAATCCAAGAATATTGTTAAGCGTTAAATTATCTCCAATTATCAAACCTAAACATAAATAAATTATTTTATTGCCGTTTGGTGTTTTAATTTCAATACCATTATTTTCTAAATCATTTAGTATTTCTACTAACTTATAAAATGATTTATCATTACCGAATTGTTTAACATCTTGTGATTTAAAAAGAGCGGCTATCAAAATACTTTGAAGTTTATGTTTAACAGAAATTGGCGCGGTGGGGAAGGAATAATATACTGCTAAAACTGATGAACTATGTGAACCTAAGGGATTGTTAACTTCGAAGTCATCGAAGTATAGAAAATATGGAATAACTAACTTGTTTTTATAATTTTGAATTTTTTTTTGCCAAATATCGCCATTTACAAAATTTTTTAAAACTTCGTTATTGGTGGTTAAGTATTCAAGACTTTTAGAAAAATTTTCGTACATGCCTGGCAATTCAAAAAATTTTTTTATTTGAAATTTAATTGGAAATAACACACCCCTTACTAATGCTGCATTTAATTTGTTTACATGTCTAGTTTGCAAGTTACTTATTGAATTATTTATGGTGATGACTTGTGGATTTTCGTATAAATTTAGTTCTTTAAGAGTTTTAATAAACTTATACTCTGAGTTAAAGTCTTTAAATGGATCGCTACAAATATTTACTAAATTTTCAATATCAGCTTTAATATCGTTTTTTCCTAGCGAATCGAAATTTTGCAATATTTGTTTTAAATGGTTTTTTAATGGACACAAAATCATGTTTGTAACATCTCTTTGCAACTCAACGGTTTCTTTTCTAGGACAATTTAATGCAACCTTCTTTTAAAGTTTCTTCATTTACATTTAAACTTGTTATGTTACTTAAAGTATTTGTACTTTGATTACCAGTATCTGTTATTATAGTATTAGGTACCATTGAAGTAGTATTAGATAAACATTCGTCTTTTACATTCTGATTGCTTAATAAAGTAATTTCATATCTTTTGCGTTCAATTCGCATGTGCCTACAAAGTGATTTAAAATTCGTAAATGATTGGTTACAAGCTGTAAATCCACATTTGTACATATCGTATTGTGATAAACAGTGAATAATTTTGAAATGTTTAAATAAACGATCGCATTGTTCAAAAGATTGTGTGCACACAAAACATTTAATTTTTCCTTCCATTTCTAGTTATTATTAAAACATTTAAATTGTCTTAAATCACTTAATATTGCACACAATGAGGTACTTTTCTCGTGTGATTCCAAAGCAATGTCATAAAAGTATTGCTGGACAAAAAACCAAATAGATTTGCATTCGGAAGGATATTTAAGATTAAGTACGTGGAATATCTTAAAACACACATCAATACATTTGATAACATTATCGAACTTATAAAATATGTTGGCGAAGTACACGAAATATTCGTTGCTCTCAAGCAAGCTCATTCCAATAGCACATATGATGGGCTGAATGGTGCTTTTGCCCTTATAATTCTCATCAACCATTAATTTCAGTTTTGATTGAAGTTCACAATTAGTTGTTGCCCATATTAAAAAACTGTTTCTGGAATCTTCAATAGTGGCTTTGACCAAATGTTGCTTTTTTGTTTGCTTGCACGTTTTGTATTCTCGGCTGGTTGGAACTAAAACAGAATGTAGAAGATAGCATGTGACCGCATCCGTACCTTCTAAAATTCAAAAATTCATCAATAAATAATTTAGATTATTATAAAATTTAAAAACCAGCTTTAATCGTTCCTTCCTTAAATTGCTTCCAGGTTGTCAAACTGTGTGAATAATAATAATTTAATATAAATCTCAAAAATATGGCGTACTGCTTGGCTGAAATTTTCCCACTTTTCGAATAATAAATTTTTCTTCTCTGGGTACAATTTGTTAAAGTCCGTCTCAATCTATCAATCAAACATTAGTTAATTACCCATTATATCATTTAAAATATTCATTTAGTTGAGTAAAGCCCAGAGAAGTAATACTGGAATATTTCACTTGGAGAAATTCGTATATTTTTTATGTTAATGACATTTACAGGATAACTTGAACTTGGCCTTACTCAATTATAAATTAATTTCAAAATAAGCACGCAATATATTACGAGTTATACCAATAAATGTCCAAAAATCTGCTTATATAGTGGCCATTCTTCTAAAATTTTATTTAGATTTGAATGATCTTGCAGCATTTGGCACCTGACTTCAAAAGTCAATTCCCATTTGATTTGCACTTCATCAAAAGGCTCGACGTTATACTTAAGGCACGATTTTTCTTGAGAGTAGTCTATAAAAATAATTTATAAACGCACCAACTTTTCAAATTGATTTCTTAGAACAATTTTTCTGCGGAAAGTTTAAAATTTTAATCAAAATTTCCTTCATTTTCCCCGAGTTCTGTATGAAATTAATAAATTTATTCATGTGGTTTTTGCTGTGAATAAACTATACTTTTATAAAAAAATAAGGAAAATTTTTACTTATTTTTGACGCTCACTGTTTGTAAAGTAGATCTTTACCTGTCGTACATAAATTGCTATGTGCTGCTTTTTGCGGCTTCTCTTCGGCGGGCTTTTTATTTATAATGCCTACATTTGAATAAAGTGCTGTGGTATTTAGTGTATAAACATCCGCCTGGTTTTTCCCCTTTTTATGTATGTAATGTATGTCCTAAAAGAAGCGTGGCAGTTTGAATTGCTTCTGAAATAACAATGGCAAATGTGGCGACGTACCTTCGACTCACTTAAAAAGAAATTCGATATCTGGCTGGCGAACGATTCAAATGTTTTTGGGCTCGAGTTTACTCCGGACGAAATCAAATAGTTTGCGATTGTTGCTGCAAGCAATTTTCTGTATTTTGGCGTAAGAACTTTTGTCTTACTGTAGTACTTCAAAACTTGACTTCCACTAACCGATCCCCTTAAAATTTCTTCGAGTGTTTTCTATATGTATGAAATGTAATGAAAATAGATTTAGTTTCAGTCACCAAAGCGTACATACGTGTTTGTGTTTATAAATAAGTTCTACCTCTGCAATATTTGCATTTGCGAATGATGCGCCCTCGTCACTTTGAGCTGTTTGCACATGAACGTCCTAGTAAAAAGAAGAAAGCGGTTAGCGCTTTTGTATGCATGTACATGTGCACATTCCACAGCTTACCTGTTCGGTGTGCCAATTAAGATTATGCTCAAATATTATCCTTGGTCCAAATTGCGCCGCATCGACGAGGGTATCCAAATGACTTGGTTTGAGCAGCATCATTGATTCCGTAGTAAAACCGCCCTCTAAATTAAAACCAATTAAACATTCACAACAACAGATGCATAAACTGCAAATATACTATTAACTTACCGCGAAAGAGGCTAAGGAACATTTCTCCATTCAATTTTATTAAAATTTCTTCCAATTCATCCATTTTACTTGAATTTTTTATCTTAACACGCGAACCGAAACAGCAAACAATATTATCAAGAAGAAGAATAGCGAAGCCTACTATTCTTGCGAAAGAGAAAAAGAGTAAACGATGAAATAAAGAGTTACCAACTGCGTTAATTGAAGCACGTTAGAAAACAAAGTGGGAGATTCGGAGCAGGGAACTCCAT